TCTATCTATCTATCTATCTATCTATCTCTCCATCTATCTATCTATCTCTATCTCGCATGAGAAGTCAAGCCAAGGGACTGACAAAATATGTTCGTTATGTCCATTAATCCATAGGTTTAGTAGCTCTTTAACTTTCGTCGTGTTTTATATCTTTGCAAATAAATTGTCGTGGTAAATTTTTGTGTTTTTTCTTTGTTACACTCTTACGCGTCACGAGAACCCTTTAGAAATATTTCCCTATGGTGACCCCCCCGTCCCTACTGGAAAATTAGGCAAATTGCCCCCCTCCCCCCCTAGAAAATCCGATTCCTTCCGTAGGGGGGGGGGGTATGGATATTTTCTGGAACCACACAATCTCTTATAATAATAGCAATCCTGATGATTGGAATGGGAGTACATATAAGTAAACAAGGGGACTGAAAGATGGCTTTCGAATTTAACTAACTATTGTGCAAGGTATTTTCATTGTGTATGTATTTGTACTGAAGAAAAGAGGAGAAAATACAATGCATTATAGTAGTCCCACGTCGGACGCAAACAACGAGTAACTGTAAGAACAGTGATTTGATCGATATTTTAGCGCTGAAACTGGTACTTGAGGGTTGACTACACGCAAGGGTTATAACCTACGCACCATTGTACCTCACTGGTCTAAAACTTGGAATACTTGCTGACTGAAACATGCTTCTTGAATTTCTGAAAGTTATGCATTGTATAGCTCTGCAAATTATATCACGTGACCAACTGTCTGGCCGAGAAACTGTAAGGCCTGTTCCGCATTTTCTGAATACTTGGAAAGGATTTTCCACATGCACTCGAAACAATTATCCGAGGCACCTTTAAATGGCCTTTTTAAGACTATATATACTGCGCATGCAGAACAAAGAAAGGATCATAATAACCAGGGTATAACACAGACAAATGGGCTACATTTGTATCAGGCCTTAGCCAAACGTTGAACTTTTAATGACACACACCAAACTCTAATTTTGGTCGACCTAAATTAAGTTAAGCGGATCGTCAGCTGGGTCAGACGTCGAACTTAGGAGGAGTTGAACCAATCGAACTGAATCAAATTAAACCAAAAGGCAATTCTAAAACGTTTTCTCCTGAACGAGGCTAAATACACATCATGATACAATTTTTAATCACTTGTTAGTTAAGTTCGAGTTCGTGGTATGTGAAGATCAACTTTTGTCCCGGAGAGGACCTTCATAAGTTATATCCGTCTGCTGAGCAGACAAATAGAACTTGTTGGACGATCCAAACTCATTCAGACGAACTTAGCTGAGCCAGACGTCGAACTTTTTGTGAACTCACTAAGTTTAGTTGGTTACAAGAAAAGTTCGACGTTTGGCCTAGGCCTCATCTGAGTACGTTAAACACAAACTGGTCGACAAGCAACTGTAGCCAAGGCCTGTTACACATTTCCTGGCTGCTAGTGAGGCTCCTCTACCAGAAATCATTTGTAGGCACCCTTTTATCGCCCTTAAGCGACTATATGCACTGCACAATTGAAAAAAGATCATAAGAGGTCTTCTACATGATACTGGCCAGCGTATAACGCAGATTGAATGGGTTACATTTATCTCAGCTGGCCTAACAAAAAATTGTTTTGCTTATATGTTCAGATAACATGTCAACAACAGATCAACAGTTACTTGGGCAGCTATTGGCAAGCCGTTACGTCATTACATTTTTGGTTTCATTATTTGGTAATTCAGTGATCATTCATATTGTACGAAAAGACAATTCTATGAAGACCACAACGAATTATTTGATTGTAAACCAAGCATGTGCAGATATCCTGGCAACAACGATGGAGTTACTGAATGATATTACATACTACTTTGAGGACAAGTGGTTTGAAGGAATAATTGGAATTATTACTTGCAAGTTGTTGAGGGCCAGTCCCTTTATTCTTTCTGCTTTCTCTGTTTGGATCCTTGTTGCCATTGCTGTTGACCGGTATTTTGCCGTTACTCGACCTTTTCAAGTTTCTCCTTTATCTCGACATTTCAAGAAAACAGTTGTTTTTCTATGGGTTTGGTCAGCTGTGTCTGCGGCTGATGTCCTCACCCTAATCCGCTTAAGAAAGGAAAAAACTTCTGATTTTTGCGAAACAGTTGATAACGTATATTACGGGTGGAGAGAATTCTCCCTCACTAGTGTTGTCCTGAAAGTCGTTGTCCCCCTCGTTGCAATCATTATTCTATACACAATAATTTGCCTTAAACTATGGGCACGCAAAGTTCCAGGAGAAGGAGCCAATCAGAATGAGCGGCAAGTACAGGCTATAAAAACAGCAAAAAAAGTTACCCGGATGATGATTGCTGTGGTGGTTTTGTATAAGCTGTGCTGGCTTCCATACTTTATCATAATGTTAATGAGCTTAATTAAAGGGGAGTCTTATTCAATGATCACGAGTGACCCTCCTAGAGGAAATATTTCTTTACATTTATTCATCCTTTGGTTAACAGTTGCTTACAGTGCAGTTAATCCATTTGTGTATCTCACTTTCAATCAGAAGTTTCGCACTGGGTTTAAACATTTATATAAAGATTGCTTAACCAAACCTCGAGGTATTCTTCCCTTGCGATCCCAAAATGTAGAGTTGGAACAAATATGAATCGTTTCAAATTATAAAACTGGACACCGACGATAGAATAATTAAAAAAGGCAAACATTATTTTGTTGGGTGGTATAAATTAGAGGAGATTCGCTGGTTATGAAAGTCAGCAAAAGTTAATGATGACCCTATGTCCCGGCCCCAACCTATGTAAGGGAATCCAAGTTAGTCTTGGCTTCTGGATTTTGCGCATGTGATTCCGGATTAAAGGTTCTTGATTCAGGATTCTTTGTCAATGGAACTGGATTCCCATTCCTTGAGCTGTATTTCGGATTCCAAAGCCCAGGAGCCGGATCTCGGATTCTCCCACAAGCAAAATTCGCCCGGCTTCTGGAATCCGCATTCCCTTACATAGGGCTATAAGGATGTCAGTAAACAGGTAAACAATTGCATTTGCTGCAGTTTATGTTTTGAGCTCCCTCCCACCAGTGCAAAATCTTTTGTTTTTGTCTCACAAATTGATATTATAAAAGATTTTCATCTAATATAGCCGTGGTGACCCGTCCAAATCAGTTTTCTTGTATAATTCTTTTGTTGTCTTCTACGGCTGATTTTCAAGCAATTATCTTGAAATTTAAGTTAATTCTGTGATTGAGCTACCCTTCCCCTAAGCCAATGTTGTCTTAGGGGAGGGGTAGGTGGGCAGTTTTCCGGAAACGTATAATTATTTGTAACAAGAGAGAATGATCATTCTCTCTTGTCCGTAAGCTGTTGGTATTGCTAAATTGTTATTTGTAAATAGTTATTTTAATAAGTATTTTGATAATATTTGTTGTCAACAGTTACCTGAAAAAACTTTCGAGGCTGCTGTAGCTAGATGTGAAAAGCGTCGACTTAGCAATTATTATGATTATTATGAAAGGTAAGGTAGACTTCATTCTATACATTTTTCCCTTACTCAGTTGTAGATTAAGGAAGGCATGCACTAACATTATCTAATTTCTAAGCATGCACCCACTTTAAGGAAGGTTTATAAATGTTGGTTATAAACAATTTGTAGTAACAATCAAGTGGAGAAAGATCATTTGGCATATTGCTTTAAATTTTATTTCGTAATAAAGCTAGCTTTCTCTCTTTGTGAACTTGTAGCACTCACCAGAAAAAAAGCTATATTAATTAAAAAGTAGTGTTTACTTCATTAGTTCAGAATTTAATAAAAATGAAAGCATTTTAGTTTTGAATGAGTTGGCAGTTAACTGACAGCTGTAAAGCAAACTGCTTTGACTGAAATCCTGCAA